ACGAGGGCTGTGTCGTCAGCAAACTGGCTGCACCCGGTGCTGGCGTTCTCACAAGTGGCAGGCAGGTCAATGGTGTACACCAGAAACAGCAGTGGTCCCAGGACTGAGCCCTGTGGCACTCCGGTCAGGATGTGGAGGAAGGCTGATGTTGTGCCCTCAACTCGCACTCGCTGCCTACGCCCAATTAAGTACGTCGAGAACCATCGCAGTGCTGCTTCCTGGACACCGTAGTGCTTGAGTTTGGCCATCAGGCCCTGATGCCATACTCGGTCAAAGGCTTTGGCACAGAAAACACAGGATATACAGGGGCGTAGCACCCGCTACGACTGGTACGACCATGGCCGTACCACTTTTCGAAAAGTGTGGTCCGTCCGGAACGTGCAAAACCGTAATAAAATAATCAGGATCCATCGATGCATATGCGCATCATCAGACTTTGACCTTTTTCTAGACTCGTAGATCTGTTAAGTGTTATGCATCTGCAGTCGGACTGAGTCCACTGTACTCGACTCGACTGCATGCACACTGCGCCGGGAGTGTGTGTGAAGTGTGCCAGAAGTTCCCAGAGCGCAGGATTTTGTGTCTTTTTTACAAAATTTTCCCGGCGGAGGTCCCCCCGACCCCCCTCCAACACAGCCTTCGGCCGCGCCGAAATTCGGTCGTACCACTTCCAAAACCCCTCCTACGCCAGTAAACGTTTTCCAGTGAAGGTATATTATACCTTCACTGGAAAACGTTTACTGGCCAAAGAAGCCGTGTTACCACTCTCCTGCGTCGTGAAAAATCCGATTTCGTAAACAACTCAACAGCCTCATCTACTTCCCTACACCACCTCATGAAGCACCTAATTACAGCTACAAAAGAATAACAGCTACAAAAAAAACCACCGCTACAGGGGCGTGCTCGGCCCCCCAACTAGGGGGGTGCACGGGAGCCGAGGGGAGCCCCCCCGGCAATTTTCTGCAATTAAATTAATAATTTGTTTGCAACCTTTCTTTAATTTTAGAGCATATTTGCATACATTGCAATTGCCTTGGATCCCTGTAAGCCAGGTACTTCGCAAAGGCACAAAACAGCAGATTTGTGGATTTTTCCGGAGACTGACTCATTACCAACAATGAACAGTCATGGATTATTGATATGAAGTAACTGTTATAGCAGCTGAGGAAAAAAGTGCACCCATTTTGGTCAGGGGATGGCCCACGCCTGAAAATAAAAAGAGAAACAAAGAAAAAAGCAAAAAACGGCACCCATTTTTTCGCTGCAGCAACAGCTCCCGCAGCAACAGTTGCAGAACGACCGAACGCTTCACTTAGAGTTAGCTGCGGCAGCGTGGTAGCTTTGCGCTTCAATGACGGCGGTCGATTTGACATTATGAAAAGAGCAGCTCAGTCATAGTCAGATATCCATACTTCAGGAAAGAAATCAAAGAATCCAGACCTGAAAGCAAGAAATCGAAACCGGGATAGAATCTGACTGTCGCAAGGTACTAATGTTTATGCTGTGCACAGTGTAGATCTACATGTAAAATTCTTGTTGGCGCTGCACGTGTACGTGTAGAAGGCCGTTTGCATGTGTACGTGTCACATCCGAGGTGCAGTCTTATTTTTTTCAAAACCCAGATTGAAAATTTTTGGGGGGTGCACGTGCCCCCCGTGCCCCTTGCCGAGCACGCGCCTGCGCTAGTTGTTGAAACTTATCTGGACTCAGTATTTCGGGTGTTTCCTCTAAGGGGAGGGCCATGTCTCATTGGCCTTGGCTCTCTCCTCCATGGTCCAATGGCCGTGGCTGTGTCGGCGACGACGAGGACCGTAGGGTATCCAATCCGCATCAACATAAGGCAATAGTGGTGGCCCCGTCGTCGTGGCCTGCCCCTGTGCCTGTAGGCGGAGAGGTGCCGGACATTGGGGGTGTACTGGGAGCGATAACCTGCAAGCTGGAACTCTCAGCTACCTCAGTTTGGTCAGCAGAGGATGTATTGCTCGGTATTTCCTTGGATTCCCCGTCGCTGGTTGTTTTCTCGGACGCACTGGCACTGTCCATTTCAGCAGTTTTCTGTGTTGCGTCCTTGCTAGTACGAGTACTACCAAGAGTCCGTAAAGAAGAGTATGCAACTGTGATCTCTTTTCTATGGGCCAGATGCGTGGCGCGCTGCCTTCATTACATCAGTCACCTGCAGCCCGCGCAGTGGCGCACACTGCGGAAAATCAAACACCACACTTTCCCTCTGGTTTGAAATGATCTTTCGTACGGAACTGTACACTGTCTTCGCACCACAGAATATTATAACCTGATCAAGATCAGTAAACGTGCATTAAGAATAGTGTTTGGTTACCCCTCGTCCTCCCATTCAGCCCCAAATTCTCGCACGCTTCTCTTTAATGCCAATTTCAGTCCGCTTCAGTTAAAATTGTACTCAGTTGTTTTCCGTTGCGTCCTAGGCCAGCCCAGTGTCCTTCTTCGAGACCTCTTTGTACGTCGCTCTTCAGCAGCTAACACTTTGCATTGTCGGACCCGCCTTCACTCCTCCAATGGTCTTGTTTTACCCCGAGTTTAGTCAGATGGAATAGTGCTCCATCTGATATCCGCACTGCTGCATCGCCATCCCTATTTCGCCATGCATTACTTTCATTCTTAGGGTAGACTACCCCGTAAGAAGACCTTGAGTCTGTGGGTATTGCCCTATCAAAATATGAATAAATAATATTAGCGAGGTTTTGCATTCCGAAATTCGGCAAAAAGATTCGGCACGCGGGAGCGAGGTCGAAAATGCACACGAAGATTCGGCATGATTGTTCGGAAAAAGCTCACTTTGCCGAACATATTTTTCGGATGAATTTTCTTGTTGAAGAGCGCTAGCGCGTGATTTATTCAAAGATGTTTCTTATCTCGGCATGGCTTCGCAGGCGTCTTTGGCGACATCAGCATCGTCAGCTACCTCTGATTGCTCCTCTCCACTGCCTGTCTACTCTCTTTCGCCTGGAGTGTCCTCACCGTCATCTGTGTTGCTGAAAGACTATGGCGATACGCATAAAATTTGACTTGGCCATGGAGTTGGTTTTTCTGAGGCGACTGAGGAGGCAGGTTTGGCCCTCGACTCTTTGGGCGATCAAAGTTCGTTGGAATCAGCAAGAATGGGAGCACGGGACAGAACATTGCTGATGCTGGGGCTCACGAAATGAAAACACATCATTTTCGACTTGCAAAACAAACGTTGGTGCGAAAATTCGACATTTTGATGTTCGACAAATGCCCGAAGAACGCTGAGCCGAAATTCGGAATGCAAAACCTCACTAATAACTGGAGTTCACTCGCCAGAATGCAGAGATCGCGTAGGTACTGGAACAAATCGAGCAAAAACGGATGGGCTCGTACGAGAAATTGTGAGTTTGAATGCATGCTTTCAGAGCGTGATGAAGGCAAGTTACGTAATGAAGGCAGCGCGCCGCGCACTGCCACTGGGCCATACACAGGATTACACATATAAAAACCGCTTTGGGAGCGGTTTCAGAAAAACGTATACTGGTGTAGTGCGTGCATGGATTACCCCGTCGTAAAAGTGTGAAATTAGTACTGGTTAATCACACGTACGTTATTGAACTTTGCCACCGAAGTAATGGATGACGTCATCCGAACGCACCAGTAGCACGAGGACTACGTCGTCAACACACCACACGTATGTACACACACACACACACACACACACACACACACACACACACACACACACACACACACACACACACACACACATGAGGATGGCTGCGGTCCGCGCAGTGCAGTGCACGTGCAAACTCATGCACGCAATGAAATAAATCGCCCCATGAGGCCACGATCACCCCAGCCAAAGTCTGGAAGACGAGACTGCGCGACAACCAAAGCGAGCACCGCGTGCAACTGAGATACACCTGAACCTCGTGCTACTGGTGCGTTCGGATGACGTCATCCATTACTTCGGTGGCAAAGTTCAATAACGTACGTGTGATTAACCAGTACTAATTTCACACTTTTACGACGGGGTAATCCATGCACGCACTACACCAGTATACGTTTTTCTGAAACCGCTCCCAAAGCGGTTTTTATATGTGTAATTTCAGTTCTTTTTCCGCATCACTCTACACCACCCACCCGGCCCCCGCCCCGATGGCACATTGGACTGAGGCAGTCACGTTGCCTGCACCACCCACCCACGATTGGCCAAAGCACGACCGGCGTGAACAGATAGTAAGAAAGTAACAGCGCCCCTACACACGCATACGCACGCAGACAGGTACAGACTCCCACGCAGATGCACGTACACACCCGCAAAGAAATGCTGGTGAAGTGGAACTTACCATCAGCACAGGGTGCCCCCCCACAACCACCGCGCACGCATGCAAACACACACATACAGATACACGTAGAGAGACAAATGCGCGCACGGAATCGCCCCAACACACACACACGCACACACCACACACACACGCACGCACGAGCTGTGCATCATACTGCAAAATTGTTCCTGTGCATGCAAGTGGATTTCATTGCTCTCCTCAGTTTGGGAAAGTCTCCATTATGATAATTCTGCGTGTGTTTGTGTGTCTGTACATACACATCAGACACAAACACACACACAAACACACACACATACCCCCCCCCCCCACACACACACACCTGGTACCTGGTAAACACTGCCATTACGGTCACGTGTCCCCTTGCGGGGCCGACAATATGGAACGACGAGCAACGGCAGTCCGCTGACAGAGAGGTACGACACACAAACACGCACGCACGCACGCACACACACACACACTTGCACACACTTGCACACATGCATACATGCTAACACACACTCACATGTCATGGAACAATGGAGTGCATGACCACGGACGGGCGAACAATGGGGCACCCGCACACCCGAGGAGGAATGTCTACGCGCCCACATGCCCATCCACTCCAGCACAGGACACGCACTTCCCCACAGTAAACGCAGCACAGCGCCATTCATGCTACAATCTTTTATTTCCAACAAGGTCGTGCATTTCGCCTTCCCCGCCGCACAACTACGCCGACCTGGACATGTACAGACGCACAACAGTAAACAGGGTATGTTTCAGGATGAAAATGATGCTTCACAAACATTCCGCCATTTTCAACTATTACTTTCACTCCATGGCCCCCACCCTCGCGGAATTTCACAAGCAGCGGGTGCGGGTATTGATGAAGCAGTCCTGTACCACACCCTTCAACGACCCCAATGTGCACACAGATATGTGAATTACTTTTAAAACGCAGAAGCCATGACTAGGGTGCTTCTCCAAGTAGCGCCTCACCTCTCCACTTCACTGGCACGTCCACGTCCACGTCCCCGTCCCCGATTCCTTGGCTGCCGCCCAGTGTACACATTGTGGATATTGATTCTGCAGATGAACACAGACCATAGCACATACAAGCACAAAATTGCAAACATGATATTTGCCTAAGGATTGCAGTTTGCGGACCACGCCACGTAACATGAGAATGAGGCCTCATGTAGTACAAGTTGCACAACAAGCAACTGCAGCCACTGTCAAAAGTGCAATTTCCCGAGTACACGATCTTGATCATGGGGAGGCACCATTCCAAATTGCTATCAGACATTTCCCATTCACCACATGGCTACGGCACGTGGTCCACGTTCCTACTCCTCGACATGCACGATTGTATAGTGTGCGTGTCAGTGCACATTCGCCACTGCCACTGCCACCACAGGTTGCACACGGCATATCACTCACATCTGCCCATGATAAGAATGGGTGGGCGAAACCATAGGCCCGCCTGCCCACCTCCGCCGTCTCCTCCCCCCACGACTTTGCGGGTGCTGGTGCTGGGGCTGGTGTGTTCCTGGTGCGTGGTGCGATGCACCGACGTGCTCCTCCTCTTCTTCAAACTGCCGCCGCTGCTGCTGCTCCTGCTGCTGCTGCTTCTGCCGCCGCTCCTCCTGCCGCCCCTCTTCCCTCTCGTGCCATTGGCGCTTTGCCTCCAGTGCTTGCTGCCGTCGCTCCTGTACTTGCAGCTGACGTTTCTTGGCTTCAGCCCGGCCCCGCACCTGAGACTCGCGCCACAGCTGCTGCGCCTCTTTCTCCCGCTGCTGGGCTTGCTGTTGTGCTTGCTGCTGCTGCTGCTGCTGCCGCCGCTTCTCCTCCTCCTCTTGCCGCTGCCGCTGCTCTTGCTGAGCCTGGTGGGGGGCGGCGATTATTGGCGGTGTACATGGGGCATCACTCCCGTCCGGTGCCCACTCAAACAGCCGCTCTGCGTCAGCGGCCGACATATCCAGTGCCTTCAGGCACCCAATCGCCGTTTCTGTGTCTGTAGATCAGCAAGCACAAGGAACCAGTACACATTCAATTAGCAACGGATTGCATGGGATCCTGAGAGGATTCCCACCAACCACCCATCCTCACTACTGCAGCAGGAGGACACAGTGCGTTACCTCAGCATCAACCAGCAAGTCGCTGGGAGCGAGAATACCTCAGCATCAACCAGCAAGTCGCTGGGAGCGAGAATACCTCAGCATCAACCAGCAAGTCGCTGGGAGCGAGAATAGTGGTATATTGTTGTTGTACTACAACCGATACCGCGCGCACATGTCAAGTAATGACACACAGCGTCATTCATTCATAGTATGCAAGACATACATTTGTATGATCAACAATACTCTCGTTCAACGACACTACACTGTCGTTCGCATTCCACACATCACCATGGCGGCGCACCCGAGCTGTGTAGTGACCACCCGTGAGCCCACCATGGTGGTTCACACTCGCAACAAGAGAAAGATTTCTATCACCAATATCAAACGAGGTGGGCAAAAGGAAACGTGCAGCCCTCTCCTCACGCACACCTCGGAATATTTCCATGCAAACACCTGTACGTGCACGCGCCATAGTGGAGGTGCGACATATGTCGTGATTTCCACCACATGCAGAACATTCATGGCGCCTTGTGTGCGACAGACATCTGTACGCATCTTCGCTTGTATCGCCATTGAGTAGAATGTTATGGATCTGCAATTCACGCTCGCCCTCAGCAAAGTTGCGTGGACACTGTTCACATTCACAGTGCCATGTGTTAATGTACTCTATCACCATTCGGGACTTCATGGTGTCTGCTCCTTTGCTGCGAAGGTACTCGTCGCATGTTTCCACAAGCCACATTAGAGCTTCGGTGACATTTTGGCAAGAGCCATCGAACATTGTTGGTGCAGCTCGCCTACAATCTCCCAGCAACTCCCTGATAGGAGGTGCACCTTGACACATTCTCAGCGCCTCCAGCGTCGCAACAAGAGGTCGTATTACGGGCTCATCAGTATGTACCTGTTCGCCGTAAACATTGCTCAGGTGAATGCTCAGTTGACTGGAAGCAAGAAGCTGGAGAGCACTGTTCAGGAAACATGTGTTTCCCAGGTTTGGCAACCCAACAGGGGCTACGCTGGTCGGCCTTCGCAAAGTCAGGGCAGGGGATCGGCAATTCTCATTTCCTTCTACCTTTGCCACGGTCGGGCGCACACTTCTTTTCGGGCCGGGTTGACGTTGAGGCTTCCTCTTCTTCGCCCCGGGTTCTTCAGCTGGAAGTGGGAAAGGTGGCAAGTGGGGTGTGAAATTTGCCCGCAGCCGGTTATACTCTCGAACATTCTTAGCCTCAGCTGTTATAGACTCGCGCTTCAGCCTCAGGATGTGGATCCCTTCCAATGTCTTGCAGCGTGACAGGGCCACGTACGCCATGCCAGAAGTGAAGATCTCGGGACCTAACGAAGTTACCACGGACTCCAGGGTCAACCCTTGCGACTTGTGTATTGTGATACTGTATGCCAGCACCAGCGGGAACTGTCTGCGATTGTAGAAAACACCTTTGCTTACCTCGAAAGCGACCGTCACTTTCTCAACAACCTCAACGTTGTTCGTGGCGTCAAGCAAAACATGTACCTTCTCGACACGACCCTTACCTAAGTCGAGCTGAGTCACTTCACCCATAGACCCATTTACTAACCCCTTCAACACATCCACATTTCTGCGCAACATTACCCGACACCCAACAGCGAGTATCAATGTTTGCGGTAATCCACCCGTACGGGTGTGGTCTAGGTGCTGAAGACGTTCAATATCCTTCTCTTTCGGGGTGCGCAATGACTGTGAATCAACACAGTCATCGCACGGTATGACGAAAGTCAAGGGGAATGACCCCATCATCTTTTCGTTTATAGATTGGCACATGGCCTGTGTAGCCATCAAGCATGTGGGGAGCTTACCGTGTCGTTGCATGTCGATCAGGAAGTCAGCAACGACCATGGGCCATTTGTCATCAACATACCCTTCCATGACCCTACTCTGGAGGCAGGAGAAGTCCTCGTTTGTTACCTCACCAACACGTACTCTGTTCAACAGCTCGGTGAACCGATTGTCCCCTTGCTGACGGACATTCTTTGTCAGTTCGGCATACCTAAATGAGCCCCACAGAGGCATACACGTGGCGGAGCCCGTAACGCGTTTCAGCTGTGCATGTGTTACCTCGCAGTACACAGGTAAACCTTTAACAGGTGACAATTGAAGCAGGTCCCCGAAGAATACCAGATTACAGCCCCCGAACATCTTACCGGACCTCTCACCGTACCCTAGGATTTCGCAGAGCCGCAGGTGGATGTACAGCAGCGTGACATTACTCACCATGCTCACTTCATCTATGATGAGGAGCTTCAAGTTTCGCAACCTAGTTCTCAGTTCAAAGCGAACCTCACCGGAAAGAGTTCGATACTCCCCGCAAGACCCATGCTCAACAGGGAGGCTGAGAAGCCTGTGGATAGTTACCCCCCCCCCCCCAATTCCATGGGCAGCCAGACCAGTTGGAGCAGCGAGGGCGACGCTTCCTTCACCAAACTCTTCAATGCAAGATGCGCGTAGCGTGCGTATGAGGAAAGTCTTGCCGCAGCCCCCCTGTCCACTCACAAATAGGGTCAGAGGGTTGCATTTCTCAGCAGTACCGGTCGCAGAACACAAACTTTTCATGATGTCATCGAATACTGCGCACTGCTCGTCAGTCAAGCTCTCCCGTGTGTGCTCCCCACTCTCAGTTGGATCAGCCCGCAGGGCCAGCTCTACATCTTCCATCCTGTCCAGTACCTTCACTTCGACATTTCCTGTTGCTTCAGCGGCGTACGCATCAGCGTCTTCGAGAACTAGGCGATTATCTCTCCTTTCATTCGCTTCCTCTTTTTCTTGGGCAGTGTCAGAGAGTTGTGCCATCCTTTGTGCATGCGCATCTAATTCGAGGAGGTGCGGATGACTCGCAGTTGCTTCCGCAAATGCATCTGCGTAACTGTCCCGTTCAAACTTGAGTTCAGCGACATCACGGAAAGGCACATGGAGAAGCAACAGGGTCCAATAATACTTTTCTCGCTGCTCTTCAGACCTAGTCGGATACCACGCGCGGTAGTTCAGAACTTTGCTACCGGCACGTTTACGCACGAATCCTTTTTCGTTTCGCAACGTCTCGTAGCCCCCCTTCCTAGGTCCTGCCTGACTTGAGTACTCATAGTAAGCATGGAAGTCATGGTAACTGACGCCCTCCATGCGGTCCGACCTGTTAGGGTAGTAGTCTGTAAGCCACTCGTCCCGATATATGTCAGTACTACTATTGTCAAGTTCAGCGATCTCAGCACGCGGCCGCAGCCTTCTTTTCATCTCGTGTGGAAACGCAGTGTTAACCCACTTCACCACATCCGACTTTACGACAAGCTGTGTGCCAAGCAGAAGGTCAGCTGCCTCGTACGCACCAATTTCACGCTGGGCCAAAGCCTGCGCACCGAAATAGAACGCCCGTCGAAAAGGATCCGCATGCGCCTGCCTAGCTGCTTCAGCAATATCCTCAAGTTGACTGCGTTCAGCCTTCGCAATATATCCAGTCACGTATCGCGCCACAGTGCGGGCCTCGTCCGCTACGAAACGGACATCCATGTTCCCGTTCCAAGCAAGCAGCAATTCTGGATTGTAGTCGTTAACCATCGACTCACTACTGCCACGGACAACATCATACAGTCTGTTGTTCGCATGCCGCGCATCGGTGGGATCACGAAGCTGGAAGGTCTGGTTTTCCTTTCGTGGGAATCCGTATCGGCACCGCGTCACCGCCACAGATTTCCCTTCTCCAGATACATATCTCGTGCGCCGGCAAGAACGGCCCGAGCATACATGGACCTGCCACTTCGACACCATCTCATGCAGTCTTGGATTGCACACAGGATCTGGTAACTGACAGGTGACACGGCTTGTGATGAACTCGCGAACTTCATCGCCAGAGTTGACACCGACAACAGGCGCATCTTTCACCCACAGAAGGCAATGGTAGTGCCCAGCACCTCTCGCCTGGTATTCCAGGCGAACAAAATGATGCTCTACTCGTCCCAGCGGCTGTGCCTTGTGCAAGAAGTCAAGAATGGCCTGCTGCCTAATGCGGAAGTGTCGTGCAACTGTGACAGGGTCCTGTGCGCATAATTCACCTTGTGTCATCTGCCCCTCCACGTCACGGTTGACAGTGCGCAAGTAGAAGTCCATGTCCTCCCACTCATACTCACCGGCACTGAATGTCACAAACCATGTAGGTGGCCCAAATGTCCGCACCATCGACATCAAGTCCCTGTAGTGCATATGCCAGTATCCCTGTGTACCTCGCACGCGATTCAGGACGCTGAAGAATTCCCCATCCATCGCGTCATTTGAATAGGATGACTGGTTGGACAATTGACCAGCAGTAAGGCTGCTACAAGCACTCCTGGAAGCCAACATGTGCTGCACTCCGCGGCTTACTGCCTTCAGTTGGTGTTGGTTGCATGTCCAAAACAAGTACGCCTGGTCCCTGCGAAAGCGACTATCTGCATTCGTGAGACGTTGAATGTGGTAGTTTGCGTCACTTAATTCCCTATCGCGAATGTGGTACTTTCCAAAGCGTCCGTGCGGGAAGAGATGCGGGAATGCGGAGTATTCAGTTCTTTCGTCTCTTTCGTCCACTGGCACGCCCGTCGCTCGCTCTTGTCGGTAGTAGTGCGACGTATCCTCAGTCGTGGCGAAGTCAAGTGCATGCATGGAATACTGCTCACACATTCGCAAATGCTCATCATGCGTCATGCGAACAAGCAAAGGTGACTCTGCATCACCAACTTTGTCTGCACACTCTGCAATACCCAAGCATGCCTGCAGCTGTTCGTCAGTCGTTATATTGCGCACGTCGGCGTACTGCGGATTAACCCCAGATAACCACTGCAAGGCTTCGACTACAACCTTCGGCCTGACAAGGTGCTTCCAGACAATCTTCGCGCTAGTTGGTACACCGTTCACAATGATGTTTATATTGTCAGCACACAAGTCATGCATGAGACGCGCATTGGCATCAATGGGCAATGGAAGGTGCAGTATTTTGTTCTTCGCACACCTCACTCGCTCCGAATACGGTCGGCTGCCATGTTTCGTATCCAGCTTGTAACATGTCTGGAAGGGTTTCACTTTTTGGATGAGTAGCTTCTCAAATGAGTTCAGACGTGACAAGCATTCTGGAACAGGGTCCAGGTGCAAGTCATTTAGAACGCATGACGGCGGCATGCTCTCTTTGCTCATGTACGTTTTACAGAGCTTGCAAATGAACAATGCATCCTCAGCATGCATGTTTTCACGAACGTAATTTTTAAGTCTATCCATCACACTTCCAACACATACGTCGCTATCTTCAATAGAAAAGGGGACCACCTCTTCCCTTCTCCTCAGCATGTGGCACGAAATGCATGGAAATATGGGAACGTTACACACCTTCTCCTCAAACGCCGCATACTGTTCGGTGTGCCTAGTGATAATAGCATTCTCATCCAACTGTAGATCGTGCTGGACACTGACGCCCACTCGTGACACACCAATGTCCTTGAATGCATCATCAAGGTATTCTCCCTTCGTGAAACCGTCCCACACACCAGCAGGATACAGGCTGGCAACCTCAGCTACCATGCAATACATGTCATTAAGGGTACACTCACGAGCTAAGACATCTGTCAAGGCCTGCCTCGCTAGACATGCACGCTTGACCGCAGTTGCATTGGCATACAATTTAAATGCGACGTGAGAATGAGGCCTCATGTGGTACAAGTTGCACCACAAGCTACTGCACGCACTGTCAAAAGTGCAATTTCCCGAGTACCCGGTCTTGCACATGGGAAGGCACCATTTCAAATTGCTATCAAAAATTTCACATTTACAACACGGATACGGCATGTGGTCTACGTTCCTACTCTTCGACATGCACGATTCTGCAAACAAGTTACGCAACATGTCGCCCAAGTTACTGTTCTCATCAACGCATTGCGTTATCAGGAAGCAAAATTCGCGTACCTTAAACGCACCATCATCACGCACCTTGCACAAGCCATCACACTTCTGCAGCTCGACAACTGTTACTTTCACATCGTCCTCTGACGCACCTTCAATTTCTCCTGCCACTTCGTTCGCACCTGGCGCGTGGACAGCTGCACTTTCTCCACCCACTTGGCTCACATCTGCCGCGTGTACAGCTGCAATTTCTCCCGCCACTTCGCTCGCATCTGGCGCGTGGACAGACTCAATTCCTCCTTCCACTTCGCTCGCATCGGGCGCGTGGACAGTACGGTGCGGCTTGCCATCGACATCAACAATTATAGGCGACAACAGTTCACTGCCCTCACTCCCCACACAAATCCGCCAGGAGTCACTATGGTAAGGTTGTGCTCTGCTGTCATGATGCTGACAGTCGCCACGGTATGTCTTCTCAATGTCACCTGTGCACTCTTCAGTCAAGTCCAATGTGCGCACGTACTTGGCAATGTCTTTGCAGCGATTCACTTCTATGCAAGTTATTTCGCGGGAAACCTTGATCAAGTACCCACATACCTTGTTAATACGCAGATCGTCCATCCTCTCTACATCGTGCACAAGGCGAGCGCGGATTGCACCACATATAACGTCTCGGTCACTTCCTTTGGTTTGAGAAGTGAAAGTGTACAGCGGTGGCGATATACGTGCATTTGGAGCCATGTCGTGGACAGTGCATTCCGAAGGATGCCACGTGGGCAGCCCAAATGCATCGTCGGGAACATCGTCCACACTCTCAAGTACATCACATATATGCAACTTCTCACGGGCTGGTTTTTTCACGGGGACAACCATCTTTATGTGTGTCCTTTCCTTCCGACGTCCTGCTCGTGACCGCCTTTTGCTGCGCACCTTCTTATGCGCGCGTTTCGTGACTACTCCACGACCGCGGGTATTTTCACGACATCTAGCCATGTACTTGGCCTGCTTTGTCTTTGCCTGTGCCCCCATTTCACGTGCTATTCGCTAATTCCTCAAACCACCATCGAAACATGCGGACAGAAATGGAGGGCCCCCACCCCCCACACCCAACACGCACCCGCACACACGAAGTGGACTACAACAAGTTATGGACTACAAGAACAAGTTGAGTACGCGATACTCGATACCCTCTCCACCTCTGCCCTCCACACGTACACCCACAGACGCAGACACACACATACGCGCGCACATTAATTAAAAGTAATGAGTACAAGAACAGGGTGAGAACGATACACTCTCCACGTTCCAACTTCGGCCAAGTCAACCGCTTTCCCGACCGACGCCACCCTTCATTCCTCAACCACCATCGTGGCACACTCTTCCAACACATCAATACTAATAGGTGCCTTACCGTTCTCGAGGGCGGACGCCTCTCCTGCGCCGCCAATCTTTCCGTTCCTGCGTTCCGTTATTGCACGACGAGCGTAGACCAGGTAGACGTCCATGCACAGATCCAGTCCGCCGGCGCGGCAGCGTCAACCGGGCCAGGGGCACATGGGAGAAGGGAAACACAGACAACAAAAGTTAATGACGTAGGAAGGAATGTGCATTGGCAAGTGCAATACCAAAAACCAAGAGTACATAACTACACAGTTATGTACTCTTGCAAAAACTTATGTCGGAAAGGGTGTGCGGATTCGGTCCGCCGTCGCTCATCATCTGCGGAATCCTGCTACAAGCGACACGAACGTAAGAAGCGCCGGGCCTACGGAGAAAGGGTTCAGCACGTTGAGCGGGCAGGCTTCATCCCTGTGGTTTTCTCGGCACATGGTGGCATGGGCAATTCAGCTATTTCTCTTTACAACCGCATTGCCTCCATGTTGTCCGAGAAGACTCGTGAAGCCTACTCCTCTGTCATGGCCTGGATTCGTGCCCGGCTGAGCTTCGCCCTCCTGCGTGCAAGTGTTGCCTGTCTTCGGGGTGCCCGCCGACCGATCCACTGCCACCACCTTGTCTCTGCTTCTGCCGCACTGGCGGTTGCCGAGGCTAGGATTGTTATCGATTTCACTGTACTACGAACTAGTCTTTTTTCTCTTTTACGTTTACTTTATACCAGGCGTGGGCCATCCCATGGCCCTGTACATTGGTGCCATCATTTTTCTTTGTTTCAATAAAATTGTAAGAAACTGGAAAAAAAAATTCGGTCCGCCGGCGCGGCAGCGTTCACCTGCACCGCGGGCCAGGGGCACATGTGAGAACGCAAAACACACAACAATGCCGTTACGTGAAAGAGTTGACACGAAAGTGCAGTGGCAAGTTCAGTACAACTTACACGGGTTCCATAGCTCCTCCTCCTCTTCTCTCGCTTCAATAATTACCTCTTCCTCCTCTTCTTTCCCTTCAACAATGTCGCGTTCACCTGCACCGCGGGCCAGGGGCACATGTGAGAACGCAAAACACACAACAATGCCGTTACGTGAAAGAGTTGACACGAAAGTGCAGTGGCAAGTTCAGTACAACTTACACGGGTTCAATAGCTCTTCCTCCTCTTCTCTCGCTACAATAATTACCTCTTCCTCCTCTTCTTTCCCTTCAACAATGTCTCCTTCGAGGCCCTCCGCGATCCGGGGACGAACATCGTCGGGTGCGGGGCGGATCGCGGACGGTGCGCGGCGTTCGGTCAGCCATGTTTCCATTGCCGCGTACGGCATGCGGCATCCGTCCCGCGGGTGCGCCGCGAGTGCGCCGCGTCCCGTCAGCCACGTTTCCATTTACGGCGTATGGCGTACACGTCTACCTCAGCATGCAAGGGGACGAACATCGTCGGGTGCGGGGCGGATCGCGGACGGTGCGCGGCGTTCGGTCAGCCATGTTTCCATTGCCGTACGGCATGCGGCATCCGTCCCGCGGGTGCGTCGCGGGTGCGCCGCGGGTGCGCCGCGGGTGCGCCGCGTCCCGTCAGCCACGTTTCCATTTACGGCGTATGGCGTACACGTCTACCTCAGCATGCACAGCGTCGCGCGTGTGTGTGTACGCGGATGCGCAGCGTTATGTCACAATTGTCTTCATCTCCCCTTTTACGCGGGTGCGCGGCGCGGCGTTCGGTCACGGGTGCACCCAGGTGCACCCAGGTTTCCATTTGCGTTGCGAACACGTCAGCACTGCGTGAACCCACACACCCATGTTCCCATTTATGCCGCGTACACGTCAGCACTACGTGAACCCGCGCACTTCCCTGTTCTGCACCTGCTCTAAGCGGTCGCTTTGGGCCAGGGCCGGTTGCTAGTTGGGTCACGTGTCAACAAAGTGTCAACAACGTGTCGACAACGTGTCGACCACGTGTCTTTAGCGGTACACTAATTTTGGTGTCCCCAAACTGAAAACATCGAGCACCAGTATCCCACACACCCATGTTCCCATTTATGCCGCGTACACGTCAGCACTACGTGAACCCGCGCACTTCCCTGTTCTGCACCTGCTCTAAGCGGTCGCTTTGGGCCAGGGCCGGTTGCTAGTTGGGTCACGTGTCAACAAAGTGTCAACAACGTGTCGACAACGTGTCGACCACGTGTCTTTAGCGGTACACTGATTTTGGTGTCCCCAAACTGAAAACATCGAGCACCAGTATGGAAAGGCTTTAGACAGAAAGCCTTTCCAATAACCACAGTTGCATACTCTTGTCTATGCACTCTTGGTACTACCGGTACTAGTACCGTACTAGTAGGGGATTCGTCGGGTGCAGTGCTCGCCTGTTCGGCCGCCCCGTGTGTACAGTTGACCTGTGCGCGGGCTCCCTGTTGAGCTGCGCTGGCGTACGAGTGTGAACCCTTGGGCTCTGTGCGCGTGCGTGCTGAGCTGTTGAATTGATTTGAGCTCTCGGGCTCCGCGCTGGGTTCCGTGTTTGTACAACTACTACCTGAACTAGCCCTCACGCCAGCTTCACTGCATCGGCCGCACTTGTAGTCTAGGAGCCAGGGGGTCATCACAGATCTGAGCTGTGTCACACCCTGTCCAGGAAGGATTTTTTGACGTGTTTGGAATAGATGACTTGCATAAAGATTGTGTGGGTTCGAGACGGGGCAAGTGGACCTTCCCCACCTTTTGAGTTCGTGACTTTCGAAGTTTCGCTTTTTGCCTGACGAACACTGAGCTAGTTTTTTTGGCTAGAGAGTAGAGTTGTTTTGTTTCGGCTTGTATCGTCATGCCGAAGCGCTGCTACGCTCCTGAATGCACTAGCAGACGAGAGATGGAACTGAGGCTCCCATTCCATACGTTCCTTTCCGAGCCGGCCGGCCGGGAGGCAGAAAAAATGAGGGAATATTATTTTAGTATCATTGGTGTAGGCTGCAACAAGCACGTCGTGGTCCTGAAGTGTGACTACTTTCCCGCAGTGGAAGCGAAGTCAAGCACAACGAAAGTTTGTGGACGTCTGAGAAAGAACTCGATTCCCTTTGATTCGGCTGCACTAGCTCCAGAGCGACCCTCTCCTGAGGACAGACTGCGGAGAGGCCAGGAACCTGCCGAGTCACGAGAGGAAGCCCAAACCACGAAAATGAGGGGTGGAAGGACTGAGTGTGAGAGCCAGATGGCCTTTAGTAGTACTTCAAGTAGTATCTGAGTTGAAGGAGAGAACCGCGCAAGTTGAAGTGTGCTGGAGAAACGCTGCGAGGTCCTCAGGCCTGATGTGTACTAGCTACTGTTGAAGTCTCACTTGTTCCGATATGAACACATCATCAGCCCTGACTCTGAGCAGCTGTATCTAGACTTGGACTTAGGCCAGAGACATAGCATTGTAAACCTTACTGAAGCCATAATATGTATCCAATGCCTGGCTCTAGTGAGAAAGCAGTTTGGCGCAGGCTCGCAAACTATGATTGACTGATCAGGAAGTGGTGGAAAGTCACATTATACCTCCCCATGATTAGCTGGTAATGACGACGATGCGGCTCCGGCTGGGTTTCATGGGAAAGTAACTTGCATACCTGTTTAGTTGCAACGAGGCAACGGTACCCCATGTACTGAACACATGATTGAACTACATTTTATCTCCTGGAAGAATGTGGAACAAATAATGCCAGAGTGTGTCTGATACACATCACAGTCTGCTGAGTATGTTCATTATTGTGGACGTAACCGAACTGCGCTGTGAGGTACCTTCTGCGTTGGACCTACAGTTGAGCCACTACTCTTCTAACAAATTCCATACAACGGTGAAAGGATTTGTTGGAGCATCATCAAGCAGTGCATTCGCCTTCATCATACACTGGCTCCGTTGCCTACAGTAATTCACATTTTGACGGGGGCGCTGGGACGATATGGAAGGAGCGGCGGGAACCATTGGAGTGCTCATGATGCTGGTTCAGCGGAGACGGATGTGTCAGGAACGGGAATGCAACCGCACTACTGTACAGATCAGGAAGCGATGGAAGAGTTGAATCTGTTCAGCCTTCCATGCCGTGTACAGGGACACAAGCGTAAAAATGGCTACATTTCGAATGTGAACTGGCGATGGCATTGTGTGGCGACGAACACAACTCCAACTGTTCAAATTTCAGCATTTCGAACATTATGCTTCCCATGATAACTCACCGAATGGCTCACATGACGGAGTTGGACATTACCAGGCTAGGATTATCATTTGCTGTATTTATGGATAGTCCTTGAGTTTTCAGATGAAGTGCTTTATCTTTTACCTGTCGTTCCTTTAGTATGGCACAATGTCCATGGCTGCTTCCTTGTCTTCATAACAGACTGGTATAATCAGCATAATTCTGCTTTATTTGAGAAGAAATAAAACTTTCCTTTCGGAAAGGAAGCCCAGAAACGTCAACCCCCATGGACTGTGTTTCATGACTCGTCCATCGACGTTAACCGTCGCAATAACTGCTGCATGTATGTTGTGCTGTGCGAACCGTACAAGATTTTACAGCTCACCCACGCCTTCCCAACAGGCTCCTATATCCCGTACCGTTAGCGTTACATTGAACATGAACTAGGCTAGCACAGTTATCCTTTCGTTCTTTTGATGGCGGCGGGTAGCATGGAACTTGACGTGTTCTTGGGATCCTCGTGCAACACTTGCTGTTCCCGGATGCCATATTATTGGGTGCATCGAGGTTGCTTCAATGCTCACTGTTGTTTAGTAAGACAATTTTTTTATAACTATTTCACCGAAGAATAAGGCAAGAGTATTTTTTGGTTGGTTTGGACGCCTGGCTTCTCTTCACACAATATACAGTCATGTACTTCCACTAACCCTACGAGTGCACATGACTCATGAGCTGCTGAAGACAGTGACGGTACTGATCATGTACATGTCATGTACATGTACATGCCGTGCACCGTTCATTCATGCTCACAAAAAAAGTACACTACAGACGCGTGTAGGGTGCCCGCGCAGTGTAGCCTGGGTGCACTTGCCCCGTCTCACTCGCGGCTCGGATCTTTGTGCAAGTCATCTATAGCATAACAACCAGTAACTGATTCCTGAAAACCAGAATGTGCCAAAGTTGTCTGTTCAAGAGTTATGGCCTATTTACTAAAATTGCCATGGTTACCATAGCAAAGTACATGTAAATTGCCTCTTTTTAGCTCAAGAGACATGCAATATAGGTCAAATAGATAATGAATGGCTGTCAATGTCATAAGCGAAGATAGAAGTTCCCAAAACTGCATTC